TATTAACCAATTAAATACATGAGCATTTATTGTCTCTTTTTAATCATTCATTGCAAGTATTGTGTTCACTACATTTTTAATCTCTTTAGCATTTATTTTTATTTGAAACAAGAAGTGCTAGGTGCAGCTTATGTTGTTAAATCAGAAAAGAAGGGGAGAAAAGTAAGCCAATATGAGTAGGAAGAGCAAGTATAATACATGTCACATAAAATCTCAGGCAGGTAAGGTTTTAATTCCTTTTACTAGTTTCCTAGTAACAAACCAAAATTCCTATAATTTACTTAATGTTCAAAAAGGGGCCAAGTTGGCAGAATGTTCAACCCTTGAGGTTGTTTAGAATTGCCTGCACATGATGGTGATAAAGAGGAATTTAGTCGATTTGATTGTATTTAAGCCCTAGGAACAGTGCACCCTCTTTCGGCCTGTGCTGGGACTCTCCCAGCTCGCCCTACTCCTTAAACCCATACACTGGCTTGTTTCTCTCTTAATGTTCATCTTCCGCAGGGGACTGCCAAGTATCTTCTCCCATATAAGATCTGGCTGAACCAACAGCCACTTCTCTGTCAGGACTGTGCAGTTCTGGAAGTGGGGGAAGAAAAGGCACTAAAAAAAACTAAATGGTACTTAAGTTTTTCTAGGAGCTAATGTCATATCTGCTTGTATTTTTCTGGTCAGACCAGTCACCTGGCCCAACCAGGTGTTCATGGAACTAAGTTGTGGACCCTCCCACAGAAAGGTACTTCAAATCCTCTTAGAATGTGTAATAAAGGGAAGACAATAAGAGCATCTCCCGTCAAAGGCTACTTTGTGGTCAGGTGACACAACAGCATTTAACTTGATTCAAGTGATAGAGTCTGTACTTAGACATAAGGAGTAATTTTTTAGTATAAAATTTGTATTTACCCAAATAATTACATAATCTCAATTTCTACCATTTAAAAGAGAGATAATTTTTCTTAATATATGTAGATGTTTGCTCATGTGCCTATAGAGTAATAGTTTACATTGGCTGTTTTCTTAATGAAATACAGTTGTTTAAACACCAGTAGCTTTTCTTGGCCTAATTCTTCATATAAAAGACAAGGCAGAATATGGCTGGAAAGACCATTCTCTCATTTCTCTCAAAGATTTAAGGCCTAAGTGGTAGCATTCTATATGCATAAGAGAGTCATTCTGCCAAGTGGACACCTTGCGCCTTCGGGTTCAATTTCATGCCAAATTTCATTTTGGGAAAGCTAGAAGAATGATTACAGTGAGATGTACTGTATGGTGGCAGGGAGAGAAAGCAGTCTATTTGTTAATATTTGTAATGATTACGGTAAATCATATCCATTGGAGACTTAACCTCCTACTGCAATATTTCCATTTGTACATTCAGAGTTGTTTTTGGTTTTTTTTTTTTTTTTTCTAAAGAACCTGAAGTTCTCTGCTCTGTTTCCTACCCTGACTCCCTGTTTTTTTTCAACACAGATTTGCAAAAAACAGTAGGGGCATGTTGTGGAGATAGCCTGAGGCTTTTGTACATTGTTTGGGAAGTAATGGAAGTTTAAGGAAAAAAGACCGCTTCAGTTGATGGGATTATCTGAATTTTTCCTACCGCTGGAAAACATACATGAAAGCATTTTATTTAAATTTCTGTTTCACAGTGGTTTAGAACTAAGTATAGTAAGCAGTCAATAAGAAATGCTGATTTTTAAAGTGATATTTTATTTTAAGGCCTAAAGGTAAATGATATACCACTTGATTTTTTAAAATTTATTTAAAAATAATGCTTACTGGCATAATAAAGTATTGTTAGCAAGCTAAAATGTAATTTATATATGTGGTAATTTGTGAAGCTAGGTAAAGCTCTCAGGTTCTTTGATTACTTATGACAGCAGATTGTTTTTGATAGTGATGAAGAATATAATGAGAATCTTTAAAGACCTATTCAGTAATGAACTACTTTTACCTAGCCAGTGAACCGAACACTACCTGCCTTATATTCGGTTGGTATTTAGAAGGATAGCTAACGTTACAACATTTGAAAAGATTTATGGTGAGCAGTGAATAATTATACTGCTAAAACAGAGTCACATGAAAAAGGGATTCTGTTTCATGACTATAGGGTCTTTCTCCCCTTTGGCAGCGCTGACATTGAGAAAGCTGGGCAAGCAAAACATTTTAAAAGCTGTATTGGTTAGCTGACCCATTGACCAGGGACAAATTCTAATTGAATAGAAATTGTTTGAATATTTCCCTGATGTAAGCATCTAATAATTTGGCTACTGTTAGAGTACTTCCATGCAAATAAATGACTAAAACAATATTTCAATATTTGATGCTTATATTCAGAACTTTTTCCTGAGGTTGGGGAAGGCAAGCAGGGAGTATCTGAAACAGTTTAAAGTATAAAACACTTAGAAATTTTCTAACTGATAACAACTAAGAATGAAATAAAGAAATGTTAAGTTGCCCTGCTGACTTTGATAACTTAAAGTTATCAAGTCACTTAAATCTGTAAATCAGTGGCTTGGGGAGGGGCAGTTGGCTAAGTATGTTTGAATTCTGTTTTAGAAAGTCATTTTAAATACTCATGAACATAAGCATATGTTTTTCTCTCCTATTAGATCATGACCTTAAATCAAAGACTGTCTTTACCATCTAATTAACATGATAAATTTCTATTGCGTATATGAATAGTTAAATGTGGAAGATATATGAGCCTGAAACCTATTGCTGCATTAACTCTTAGAAATGAAAATCTTGGGGATAGAACTCACTTTGTTCTTCACACTGAGTTATTGCACATGAGTTCTATTTTGCTTTGTGCTTTATAACTGAATCACTTTCTATACATGCAGTGAGAAAAATATGGCAGTAATAGTTTTCTCATTAAAATATTTTGTAAAAGCTTTTAAGAGGACTGTCATTCAGTTGAACGGAACTTGGTATTTGCTAATCAAACTTACTAAGGCAGTTACTAAATAGATTTAGTAATAATCAAATTTGGGACATGGTTCATTCTGCTTAACAATCTACATTAGGAATCTTGGTCAGAAGTGTTTAAGTTAAATAAGTATATAAACTTTAGTAGTTTTAAATTAGAAAGTTAAAAGTACTTCAGCACATAGCACACCGGTGCTTTGGTGTTGGGAAGCCCATGGGGATTACAACTGAGATGAAAAAATGCACAAAATGTTGTAAAAAGAAACTATAAAAAAAGTGTTATAATAAAAAAGTTAAAGTAAAAAAAAAAAGTACTTCACATAGAACATTTCAATGGGAATAGAAGGTACTTTTGTAGCTTGTCCTGATTTTATGTATAAACATTTAAACATTCTATAAGTTCAAACAAGCTTTAAGTAAGGTATCACTTTCTACAATAATCTAACAGAGCATTGTGGATATTTACAATAAGCAAGCCAAATGTCATTTTAGAAGGCTATCCTGGTTTTGATTTGTGGATGAAACTTGGAATGTTTTTGTTAGAATTTACTATAATCTTTCATGGGTTTTTTTTGACTAGAAGAGTTTAAATTCCTGAGGAATCTTGCAAATTATTAGTCTAACAATAAGACATAAGAGGCAAAACATGGTTTTCTTTACTTGTTCAAAACACAGTTTACTAGTAATGAAAGGTACACTTGGTGGTTTTATTATGTGGAAAATGACCAGCACCACAGGGTTGTATTTGGGTAGGAGAACAGGTATTTCTTAGGATGTTCACAGATGAATTTTTGCTGTTATTTTTTCACATACAGAGTTTTCACTTGTTTCATTCTTCTGACTTCAGCCAATAAATTGTCTATATCCCTTTTTGGAAACACTATTCTGATAATTTGAAATAATCATTTTTTGTCCATTTCATTATCCTGACCTGGTAGGTTCCCCCCCCCCCGCCCCCCAATAACCACCACTAGTGTTTATTTCCTGTTTCTACTATAAGAAGTTTGCAATTGGCAAACACTGAATGTTATAGTTTGTCAAATGTTAAGATTAATCCATGTGTCCTATTTAAATGTTTAACTATGACCTCGCAGGTTCAGAAAATTTCAGAATCAAATTCATTTTTCCTTCAAAACTGATTCTTACAGTTTGTTCCTTCATCTCTGAACAGAACACTGTGGTGCTTAAAATAAAGGTTTGCACATCTAACAAAAAGTTGTTTGCCTAGGAGAAATAGCACTGTAAATTTTACTTAACATTTTTATCCCGTAACTTCTTAAAATATATTTAAGATGATATGAAGGAGTACATGGTTCTCTGATCAAGTTTGTCTGAGTAAGCACAACTACAGGCAAAGCTTAGACCAAAGAAATGACTCAAGCCTCGATTCACATTTGTCCCGAACTAGAATTGCCTACTAGTTTAAATATGTAAAGGTTTGTGAAGAATCCAAGGTAATACTGAATTCTTGTGCTTAGAATTTTGGTAAGTACCAGTGTTGCTCACTACATGAAGAAATTAGTTATGATGGAAATTTTCATGGGGAAAAGAAATAATTCTGACTTTTGAGTGTTGCATTTGAGTTAAGAAAATTTAAAATTCTGGACCTGCGGAACTTGACTTTTCTTTGACGAGGTATGCATACATGACTAAAGTAATCTAAAACTGCATTGCTTTAGATATGTTTGCTATCACTTACCACTGGATTTAATTTTTAAATATTTGAAAATTAAGTTGTATGAGGCAATAATAATATGAAGCAGATGTTTGTCTATTTTTTGCAGGTTGCATTTTTCTAATTACTGTATCATAATACAATTTTCAGGTGTTTTTATATAGAACTTCACATGTACTTTTCACAATAGTTCTCTATGATTGAAGTATTATTGCCCTATTAAGATGTAAAATTAATGCCCAGAGAGTTTATTATTTATCTGGTCACAGATAAGTAATATATAAGTACCTATATAAAATGTAACTCATATATCTTCTGATTTAAAATGTTGTCATTTTTTTTAATTTTTAATGCATGATATTACAGCTGGTTAAAAGCATGCTTTTTATCTTGACAGGATATGGCTTTAGTTGCCCCTGAGGCTCCTTCAGAACAAGCCAGGAGAGTTTTTCAAACCTATGATCCAGAAGGTAAAAGATTTTTTTATTAGCACTCACTGTTTTGTATTTTTATATATTTAAAATCATTGCCAAGGACAGTATTGAGCTTCTTGTTTCAGTATTTTCTACTAGGAGTTTCAAGTTGTCAGCTCTTAAGTCTTTGGTCCACTTTCAGTAGCTCTGTGAACAGTGAGCTAGGGGTTCAATTTTGTTTTTCTGTGTGTTTCTCTCAGCACTATTTGGGGAAGACTGTCCTTTCCTCATTGGGTATTCTTGATTCCCATTCTGTTTTCATTACCATAGCTTTGGAATATAGCTTGAAATTCAGGAATGATTCTGTGTCATTATCTACCTTTCTCCCTGACACTCACCTATGTGTCACTGTTTACCCCCATGCCTCTCCCTGAATCAGACAGAGACTGTTTCCTTGTTTCTATCTTCCTGACTCATCTTGCTCATCTGTATTTCTCAGCAAGTCCCTCTGTCTATTGTGCTCATCTCCTGTTTTGTCAACAGAAAAAAAAATCCAAATTGTGTGACATATTGTTTATTCATAAACAAAACCAATCATGCATAGTTGGTGTTTGAAATTACAGTCCCATTTTTTTCACATGTGTTTTGGCGGCTTCTTTCTTTCTATTCCTGTCTCTCACCCTCCTTATCTCTTCTGTAGAATTACATCTCAGGAAGCAATTGTATTTGAGTAATGCATAATTCTTTTCCTTTTTAATGGCAACATTTGCTTCTTGCCTTTGCTCTTCACTTGCCCTGACCACTTATTCTGCAAGTTTCCCAACGTGTACATGGAGTGATATACAGGACAAGCTTGTTTCTTTCTGAGCTTCATGCATACAATTTTTTTTTTTTAAAGATTTATTTATTCACATGGAGCCAGGGTACAGGCCAGAGATGTGAAGGGTGAGAGGATTCACCAGGGACAGAGTGGGGAGCAGAACAGGCAGATCGACGAAGTACACTGCTGAGGGGAGCAGCGGGCGGGTCAAGAGAGGTCTGTCACGCCATGTGGATCTCCTCCCGGGCAGGCGGGGATCGAACTCATGCAGAAGTGGCTTTAGCTTCTTAGTGCAGTGCTTTAACCGGCTGCGCCACCAGGGAGGGCCCCATGCATACAATTTAAAAAGCGTATTGCTTGAAGGGTGGTACCTCTACAAAGTACTTTCTTTAATACTGAGATTAGGATTAATTACCTTGAATAATTAAATGAAACAAGCATTATTGAGCACTTGACTATCTCAAACATAGTCAGTTTACAGAGTATCTACTGGGGCTGAGCTGTGAACATGTTTCCAGCAGCACAGGCCATATTTTGATTGTGATTATGTATTAAGTCGAAATAGGTTGCTCTGTAAAATACAAAGCAAAGTAATGAAATCTTAATTTTACTGAAACAAATGGCATTGGGCCCTCCTCCACCAGTCCTCAGTGCTCTTGTCTAGTCCCACAAGAACATTGTCTTGCTTACAGGGGTAATGAGTATTGAAAATGTTAATCCAAGTGCATCTGGACTCTCCCTGTGTCCAGCTCAGATGCAGGAGTTCCCTTCGTGCCTGTGAATTCTGAGTGGCTGCTGTTGCTTTTTCCCACAGCATCAGACTTTCCCGGAAAGGATAGTTAGAATTGGTACATCTTTCTTTTTAAAGTCCAACTCTTATTTCTTCACAATTATGAAATAGTTGTTAAAGGCAGGCAATTACTTTCTTGCCAGTTTTTGTTCTCCATTACACTTGGCCTCTGGGCACAAACCAAATACTTTGTTTGGCTGCTTGACATCAGGAGCCTGGGGCCCTCCATGCCTCATATTCCCCTCTAGAGGTCCCATTTTATATTCGTGTTTACAAATGGATTCAAGTTTTTTTTTTTTTTTTAGTGCTTGACTAGTTAACTATACTCTCACATTTCCTTTATTGTTGGTATTGACATCTTATCACCATGTATCTTCATTTCCATATTCTCTAAGGAATTGGTGGGCTACATGCTAGCTGATGTAGGTTTAATGTGCTTTTAGCTTGATGATTATATTTTTTTCTAAAATATTTGTCCTAGTAAATAGGAATGATTAAAAAATCTTTGTGCTATTGAGATATATACAATTTTTAGCTTTGAAATGTACTAAATGCAGTTACATATTTAGTATTTACATTGTAGAATGTATTCATACATTAAATATATACAGGATATATAACAAATTAACAATGTGTTGCAATATTTAGGTTTGAGCATGTGAGTTAATAAGGCTATTTTACTGTGTCCATTGTTGGTACATCTTTATGTAATTTCCAGGGGTAGAAGCTGCATTTTAGGGTTCTAGTAAATGTTAATCAGTGCTGATGATGAACAGAAACCTATGCAGATCATTTTAACTGTTCTATAAACACTTGTTTTATGTTTGGAAATGCTGGGGTTTTAGCTGTGACTTAACTAAGAAAAATGTTTTTCCCAGTGTTTGAACTCATCAAAAATACGTTTATACAACTTGGCTGTTCACATGTATCAAGTTCTTTTTTATTCCCTAAAACTTAAATTATTGGTAATTGACAAACTTGAAATGACTTTCAATTACTCATGATTTTTAGCCTTTAGGTAAGACCAATCTTTGTAAAACTTGGTAAGTCTTTGCTTATGAAGTTTAGGAAAAGACCCTTTCATGAACTTGCAGCTTATTTTGTCTATCAAGATAGTGTACATACCACAGATGGAAAGGACAACTACAATTCTGTCTGTAGTTTGTTTATAGATACAGGGTTTGGCCATCTTATTCTCCACAGCAAGATCTTTATTATCTATTCCCTGAAAAAGGTTTTGCATTGTACATTTAAAACATAAACAAGTTTAAGAGTACTATGATTTCAGACTACCAGCTTGTTTGGTGTTCTGTTCTATTGCATCAGTTTTGTGCCTTTCTTCAGTCTTATATTTATCATATCACTTATCTAACAGTGGGTCATTAACATTGATCAGTACCATTCTTTCAGAAAGTTACATATAAACAGCACGTGCCTAGTAAAGGGTTATTTTACTTGGATTTCTTAAGCAATATGAACATTTAAATTCCATTTATCGAAAGTCTTATGGTTACTTTTTATTAGAAATCTTACAAGTAAATCTTTGTCTGCCCCCAAAAAAGCTATTATCTAAGATAGCGCCTATCTTAATAAGTAAGCTAATTCCAAAATGTTTCCACTACTTTTCTATAGATAATGGATTCATACCTGATTCACTTCTAGAAGATGTGATGAAAGCACTGGACCTTGTTTCAGATCCTGAATAGTAAGGAAAATACAATAGGAAGAAAATATTATCTATTCTGTTCAACTTAGTTTGTCAACATTTTGGCCTTTGTTTTCATTTAAACCTGCATATTTATAAAAGCACAGCACATTATATACAGCCAAGATTTAAGAAATGAGACATCCCTATTATAGGGGAGGCTTGGCAAAATAAGCTTCATTACTCTTCTGTTCCTGCTTTTTCTATAACTTTAATTTTTTTTTTCCACTGAAACATCATTTATGCATGTCTTTAAGTACCTTCAGTGGAAGTAGTGACATGTCTATATAATGATACTGGTTATATATATTGAACCAGTTATCCTGGTTCAGTAACTAGTAGGCCTCTGACTTTTGGCACATTTCTAAATGACTGTACTTTTTATTATTGCCAAACGTTAACATTGTGTCATGGTCTCCATTAAATGTAAATACATTTTTCAATTATTTTCCTTTTGAACATACTGATGTAGTCCAAAAAAACAGTGTAGCCCTAGAGAATACAGTAGTTACAGGGCGTATAACCTGCCATTCATTATACTTTCATGAACTGGTTTGACTAGAGACAATCTAGTCAACCTTCCAGTTATACTGCCTAAGAATTTTAAGCCTCCACACTGCGTTTTATTGACAGCTAAATTTTTAGATGTTTTTATTGCATGTAATCCTGGTTTTTGATGTAGTTTCTTTTTCTACTTAGGCTTAAAATAAACTTAAGTGCCTCACTTGATTATCAGACTGCATTACAAGCCTCATTTTTTAAGTTACTTTCCCTAATAAGGAGCAATATTTCAAAGTCATCATCTAAATTCTAAATAGTAACAGATTACTGTGGTTTAAAAATAACCAGGTTTTGGCAAATTAGATGTCATTCCTGGGTATGTGTCATGAACAGCTCTTAGGATAAAGAAAAGTAAGTTTTATTCCATTCATAACCACTGTTTTTCTTTTTTGCCTTCCCTATAGTATAAATCTCATGAAGAATAAATTAGATCCAGAAGGATTAGGAATCATCTTACTGGGTCCCTTTCTTCAAGAATTTTTTCCTGATCAGGTAACAAAGGAAAAAAAATATTTTTGTTTTGTACTATTGGAATGTAATTGTTTTAGCATCTTTCATGTTTGAACCCACAGACTAAGAAAGTAAATACTTTCCCATACAGAGAGACTAGAACATGTGGTCAGACATTGTAGAGTAAGGTGATAGTGCACAAACTCATGAAAGCAAGACTGCTTTTTTAAAGGATAATATTCAGAGGATGTGGAGTTAAGAAAAATTCAAGTTCAACCTATTTTGGATGTATTTGTTTCCTTAGTAGAAAAGGCGCTTCTACATAGTGAGAAACTCCTACTAGTAAAACAAGTTCCAGGAGAATTTTGATTGAGTAAAAAAAAAAAAAAATAGGGTGGTGGAGCTGTTCTGTTCCATATTGGGGGCTCTAAGAGCTCAGTGAGCAAGAATATGCTACCCTTAGTAATCTTCAGTTACAACTATGTCTTTGACAAACCAATGTGCTCTTACTGAAAACAGAATCCAAGGTGTGTAAATGTTTAATTACAGCATTTCAAACTTCTCAAGGCAGTAATATTCATTGTACTTCTATGTGCTTCAAGACTGCCTCAGGATATTTTAGAAATCTTAGAAAATATAAACATTAAAATAGTTACCACTGTTTTAGAAATACCATATCTTATATATAAAGAAATTATGTTAGCTGAAGTAGCTACATTTATATATAAATGTATATGCACCAGATATTTTGTCTTGTAAATTACTCATTTGGCAAAAAGGAAACCAAGGATCTGAAAGTGAGAAAACTGCTTAAGGTTCTACAACTAGTGTCTGATTAAAGAATCCAGTGCAGGTTACCTCGTCCCAGAAACAAGCTCTCTACAGCAGAAGGTAGTGTTGTGCAGCAGTAATTTCAGTATTTTATGCTAGTGTTAGCGAGAGGAATATAAATATTCAACTATGTTATAACCAGTTACTGTAGTATGTGATATATTCTAAAATTAAGTTTTAAAACAGTGATTAGTTTAAACACCCCAAGTAGTGTAGTAAAGGAGAATGTTAAAGATTTTAAGCCAAGTCTTAGTAAATGAATAAGAAGGTGAGTAACGGGAGAGAAGAGTGAAAAGATAGATCCTGCATTTTCAGATTCTTGGTGCAAATCATAGTAACCCAGTGGAACTGAAGTAGCGAGCATCTATTCAGAAGGTAACTTTAGGGGCCCCTGACACTACCTTGTCTCATCCTTCCCCTTGGAGCTAATGAAGCCGCAACTGCCCGCAGGTCTTCTGGGGGTGAGATGCCCTACCGTCACATCCAACCTTGTAGCAATTAGGCCCACGGACCCTTAGGAAAATCACTGGGACAGTCGTTAGGTGCTTTGAAGCTAAGAGAAGATGTAAACTTGATCATCAGTTTTTCTGCAAGTGTAGTATAGCTGTTGTGATGTCCGAAGCCCTAATAAAATTCAATTCATTCAGGTTTTAGGAATTAACTATATGGTCAGAATAAGGATTTAAGAAATTTGCATTATTCTCAGTTGCTAACAATTTACTGATACTTTATTTATAATAGGGCTCCAGGGGTCCAGAGTCTTTTACTGTCTACCACTACAATGGACTGAAACAATCAAATTATAATGAAAAGGTATGATAACATCTATTTGGGTTGATAAAAGAAGTTAACAATGTTTGATGCCCACAGACCTGTCACAGTAGGGTGAATTGGTGATGGGAAGTCCTCGGGGATTGCAGCTGAGATGGAAAACGTTTTAAGTATCATTTAGTGCCTATTAAATTTTAAAAAGTCACAGCATATGTGAGAGCTGGTCATACAGTGATTTGGAGAAAGTTTCACTGTAATCAAATAACTATAGCTATGTACATGTTGTGACTGTAGATATAACTTAATCTGGAAAACAAACAGCTCATGCTTATTTTATAGGACACTTACCGAACGTTGTATTTAGTACTTTATAAGGCAGTGGTGTGAAAGTTCAGATAAAGTATGCTCTGAATATCTGCATTTTCCAAAGGATACTGAAACAACTCACAAGTCAGGAATTGCAAATTAGTTGGTCTGTCTCAGAACCTGCACTCTTACCCATCGTGCTTTGCAATGAGCAGTTGACACAGGCATGTCAGGAAGTTATGACCTAACTTGTCTTTCTACCTTATTCGTTTTCCATAGATCCTAGCTTTAAGTACATCTCTATTATGATTACATTTATTCAGATAACATTAGAAGGAATAAAAACCGGCCTACTTTCAAAAACTGATGCTGGTTTCCTTAGTTTCTAAAAAAAAAAAACCTGCTGCAGAAAATGTCATTAAATAAAAAGTAAATTTAAAAAACATGGATGCTATTTAATATGTGCTTCATTTAGATTTTTAAATTTTACGTAATCATTTGCCTACACAATCTCTACAAGGTAGGTCAGTAAAAATATTATCCATATTTTACAGATGAGGCATCTGAGACAGGGAGATTAAATGACTCACACAGCAAGTCACGGGCAGAGCAGGGATTGGAACTGAGTTCCTGATTCTGTCCTTGGTCTGCTTGGTCAAGCTGCCTAGATCTAGTAAGTCTCCATCATGCTGACGACAAGCATCTGACATACTAAGCAAAGGTCAGAAACGTCATAGTGTGTAGGAACTACATAAGACGAAGTTACTCAGTACTAAGAGGGAAGGAGTAGAACATTCCTGGCTGTGGGTTGTGCATACTCAAGCTGGGCTGCTGGGCTGCCTGAATGTAGTGAGGATCCTTATCTGAAGTGGGTCCTGTATTCTTGGTGTACAGTCTCTCAGAATAGGAAATTTCCCTATTGAAAGTTGAAAGCCATGAGTGTTAGTAACTGAATGTATTTCAACAAAACATACAAAAGAATTTAATTGACCTTAAAGTTCCCTATAAAGACTTATAAAATTATATGACCTTACCATATATAGTTTTGTAATTCAATGTCATTTTAAGCAAATCTTGAGTGATTTTTATTAGAAGCAACCTATATCGTGGCATTTACATATGCTTCTGCTTCTCTTAATTTGATCTTAGTCAGGTAGTTAAAATTGCTATCATACTGTTTCCAAACTTACCTGCACAATAATCAGTAAGCAGTTGTTTACTTTGTTCAACAGGTCATGTATGTGGAAGGGACTGCAGTTGTTATGGGATTTGAAGACCCCATGCTACAGACAGATGACACTCCTATTAAACGCTGTCTCCAAACCAAGTGGCCATATATTGAATTACTCTGGACCACAGATCGCTCCCCTTCCCTGAACTAATTCCCCTAAGTTATAAAAGGAAGATTGTAATAGCAGATGTTCAGAGAGGGATGCAAGACTGGTAACTGGCTACATTAAGCTCGACACTGTGGTATCACTCACTGATTAACAAACACACTGTTGAAGATATGATTAAATTCTTTTTAGAACTTCCCTGTTTACTAGCAAAATTAAACTTTAACCAAAGTTCACTACCTTTATAGTCAGATAATTGGTTCATTAAATTACAAACATAATACTTGTATATGAAGTACTAGAACTGCTTTTTCTAAACGTTGGGTTTTATTTGATTCACACACATTCTATTGTCTAAATGATTCTACCTTGCCATAGATAGCAGCCCCCATGCTGAAATGCAGAAAAGTTAGTTTGTTGTTTTTTTCTAAAATCTGGTTTCCATTATAAGTCTTCATGGCAAATTATTAACCTAGATCCTTTCAGTTGACTTAGTAGCTCTGGCATGCTTATAAAGACAGGGACTATAAGGGAATATTACCATTTATTCAGATATAGACATATTTTTAAAAATAATCAGCATCTGTTTGCTAGTCTTAACACTGTTAACTTTCACTGTATTGCCAAATACACTTTTCCAGATTTATCCCAATAGCCAGCTTTCTTGTATACTTATAAATGTGGTAATAAGTGCATGGAGACATCTGTTGTTACACGAGTATACTGCATTATTTATTATGATCCTAGTGGATGGCTTAAATAAACACTTTTTTCTTTATCTGTACCCTTGCATTTTTTTACATCAGTGGCTCAAAATAGTACTTTTCAAGCTTTCTCCCCACCAACCGTGAGAGCACAGCATAAAACAAATGTCTGATAGAGACAAATGACCCCTTGAATAAAAGGTCTACCCTTCTTACCTGACAGTTGTAACTCACAGCCGAACAGAGGCGCCAGAACCTGGCTGGCAGCTGTATGGGCCAGTACACAAAAACACAGTGTTGCCTACCAATTTGAAGTACTTCTCTTTAGTTAGAAGTTAACACTTTAGCATCCACTCATGTATTTCAGAATTGAACTTTAAACAGTAAACTTGTATATTCACAGATTATAATATAGTAGATCTTTAACCTAAGGAAAATATGGCACAAGATTTTATGGATGACTTCAGGAGAATCTTGAGTTGCAGCTGCTGTATTTCAATAGTTTTGGTTCTATACATTTGGAAGTAGCTAAGATTAAAGTATATTGTGCTAGAATTCATTCTAACTGGCTCTAAATTTATATAGGATTATGAAATGTATAGACTTATAAAAAATGAGCCCATAAATATGTGTAGTTCTATTGTTACATAATAATCGCAAAATGCCAATGCTTAACAATCATTTTACTCACAGAGTCTGAACAGGCGCAATGTAACTAGCTTGTCTGCTGCTCATTCTGGAGGCTCGGCTGGATTTGGGACCTTAGCTTACCGTCACTGATACATGTGGGACACTGCACCAAACTGCAGGTACCTTCTCAGCTGCTTGGGGGGGGGAGTCAAAATCACCTATATGTCGGACCATAAAAGTCTAGAAAGTCCCCAAAAGCTTAGAAAAATAAAGCAGCACACAACTAAATCCACAAAGCCAAAATCTATTAATAAACAAGAGAAAGGAATCTAAGCTTAGATAATCATAAAGGGGAAAAGCCAATAGTAAAATGGCCACTTAGTACATACTATCAGTACTCAAATGTTGATGGGCTCTTTTCCCAATCCAAAGGAAAAACAGATAAATGCATAAAGATATGAGATACATTCGTTTGTTGCCTGCAAGAGATTTCTGTCAGCTATTCAGACACACAGACTAAAAATAAAGGAATGAAGAAGGTAGTCCATGCCAATAGGAACAAAAAGGATAGCAAATAGCTGTACGTAAACCTGATTTTAAGATAGTCTGTTTTGAGGAGCAAGGGAGTCAGTATACCAACAAAAATAATCTGGAATACTTAACGCATCCAGCCTAGGAGCGTTAAATGTTAAAAAATGTAAATGTTAAAAAACCCAAAGGCAGAAATACACAGCAAGCCCATAAGATTACTTACCCACTTCAATAAAGGGATAAGTAAATGAAATCAATTAACATTGAACTAGATTACATACTAGGTTAAACTTAATACATGTATATATTAATCCCCCTTACCCAGTTTTGCTCTCCAAATTTTTACTTACCCACAATCAGTCATGATCTGAAAATACTAAGTGAGAAATTCTAGAAGAAAGCTCTTCCTAAGATCAGAATTGGGCACTTCCCAACAGGGCACCTTGCAGAGGTAAGTACAGAGGGTCCCACAGTACCTGGTCTCATCTCTGAATACTTGTGGTCCCCCTAACAGCTTGTTGCTTTGGGGCAAATTACAAAATATTTTTATATGTATTTGTGAATTTGGTTTTTGAAATGATGCTCCTTTATTCAGAAGAACCTACTGAGCATTTCTATACATAGAGGTTAAACAAAGCACTTTGACACATTCACATTTGGGCTTTCTTGTCACCTCTCATGAAGATGGGAGTATGGAATTCCAGAATGACCATGTGTACCTTGGAAGTATCTGTCCTAGCCACCAAGGTTAGACCTGTCCGATTTTGTAACAATAACCATTTAATTTTAAAAAGCTACATTGATTAAATGGCACCCTATTTATCGTCAGACTATATAGCTTACAATAATCTAAGCATGAAAAAATATATTGTAATGGTATTTTGTATAACTGACAGTACAAATATTTTTTCACCATGTTCCAAGTCAGAGTTAATACTAAACATACCCACTGAAGAACAGTAACTCATTCTATCATCACAATGGTAACATGCAATATTTTCTGTCAATTATACTTTTCTAGTTCACACTGATGTTACACATTAAATCATTTGACTAATTCTACACAAATATTTTGAGTAAAGCAAATGCAAGTCATTTCCAGCTGTCTCGTAACATTGAAACATTTTGTCTATAAATATATATACTGTTAAAATTTAATGGCTTAAATATACCATCTCAAAATCTCAGTGCTCTGGGTAAATTAAAAAAAGTATTTTTTGTTATTACTACATTTTCTACTTAGTCTTAATTATAACAACATGTCTTATCTACTCATTTTTACAATCCTAAGAAAGTCTATACCATCTTTACCCCATATATTCCCAAAATCATGAATATTTCCTTGCAAGAGAGAAGTTACCATTTCTAAGGGTGGAATGTAGACCCCTAATAAGGGTCCTGTTTCTAGTTACATAGCCTTAAGTCTCTGTCTTGCTTTCTTCACCTGAAAAATTGACTTTTGTGTTTATGGTAAACCTTCTACATGAATTTTCTGTTGCAAAGTAAATACCCAACAAGTGGCTAGTGTAGCAGTCGTTACTGGTGAATGTCAGCCTTCTTGCCAAGCAGTGACATGTCCTGACCAACCAAATACTTCCCTTCTGGGAATGATGTACCAATGAGCTGGAACTAGACTGAAAAGACAGAGCTATATCTCATCAGGTTCCCTCAATTGGTGTTCAAACATACAAACAATGAACAGTAGAGGACAGGAGAATTCAGCTCAATTCTCACACTCTACCAGCAGAGTGGCAGATTGCACGGTTACAGCTGTGACTACAGCTCCCCCACTTCAGATGCAAGCCCAGGTTGTTACTTGCTATACATCAGATTCTCACACTCCTTCCTTAGGTTGGGTTACTATGCTGCAGGAACTGTAGCTCAGGAAACATTTTCCTAACTAAATCGCTGGTTTGTTAAAGGAACTAACTCGAACAGACAAAGATGCAGTCAGTGGAAAGGACATGGAGCTTCTGTGTCCTCTCCAAGTGTGTCTTACTTCCAGCATCAATGCATGTTCACCCTAGAAACTCCCTGAACCATGCCTTGGGAATTTTAGGGAGACTATTACATCCACAAGATTGATTAAATCATGAGCCTTGTTGCTCAATGCAAACACCTCCCTCTTCATTCTCCAGAGCACAGCAGGTGGAGTTGAAGGTTCCAAACTTTGAATCACAAGGTTAGTTCTCCTGGCAAACAGTCCACCAACTTGGAAGCTTCCAAAAGTCACTTAACAGAAGACACCTTCATCCCTCCCAACACTTAGGAAATTCCAAGGATTTAGAGAGCTATGACTCAGGAACCATGGATGAATATCAAATTGTTTGAAATAGATTTTGCTCATCTGAATAACCAAATATATATATCCTATAAATCACCATATCACATTCCCAAAGACTAGCAGTTTCCCAGAAGTTGGTTAGTGACCTTACAAGTTTGAGTTTTTTCAGAAGCAATAACCAGATATTCATATCTAGTTCTAGTAATAGTTTATGGGACTCAATAGAGGTATGTTGATTTGTTGTTCAATATAGAACTTGTATGTAATCTAATTATAATCCTCGCCTACTTGAGTAATGGAAATTTCATGAACTGATTTTTCTCTTAAATTGCTGGCTAAGAGTTACTATAATACATGCAATATGTAGTATAACCCCTGGATAAAAGATGACTGCTGAATAAAATAGCATGTTAAGATTCAATTAGCTAGAACCGGATCCTAGATTAGGATATTGGGTGACACAAATGAAACTGATTGGTAAAATTTGCAGCAGGTTGTTATAAGATTAACTAAAAAAAAAAAACGTCTGGCTAAGAAACAGGGAAGATCACTTTAGATGGAACTGGCTGTGCTCTCCTAATACAGAGCCGACTTTTGAAGGGATAGTCGCTTTGCTTTGGCTGCAGTTTTGTAATTTTGGTGCAGGTATCCATGAGATCCAGGGACAGAATCTTGCTCTGGGGAATTATGATTTGGTGCCCAGGTGGCTAAGACATGAGTAAGAAGGTAAGTGAGCGTTGATCAAATGGGAGGTGGGAGAGTTAAATGTAAATATCCATGTTCAACACTTTATTTTTTGAAAGATTTATTTATGCATACAGAGCTGAGGTACAAGCCAGAGGGGCAGGGCCAGTGAAAGGTTTCACCAGAGACACAGTGGGGAGCAGAACAGGCCAACTGTTGAAGTACACTGCTGAGGGGAGCAGTGGGCAGGTGGGTCAGGAGCGGTCTGCCTGAGGTGACCCACAATGGTGCAGATTGAACTCATGCTGAAGTGGCTTTAGCTCCTTAGTGCTGTGCTTTAACCCGCTGTGCCACCAGGGAGGGCCCCCTTGTTCAATATTTTAAGAGGAACACCTAGCAGAGCAGGACTCAAAGCAGCCCTCACTGACAGCAGTCTGGAGGGGCTGTACAGACACAGGTAAAAGGCACCTCACACAGCACTGCACTGAGGAGACCGCAAACCCAAAGGTTAAGGCCCAAATTCATACACCCTTATGTGACAGAAGGGTCTTAAATACAAGTAGAACCTGCTGATCCCTCAGTCAAATGGAAGACAAGCTGACACGCAGGGAGTCCGTGTTCTCCAGAGGTAGGGAGCCCAGCAAATCATTACCTTTCTTCTACACTCAGTTCCCTGCCGCCTGTACCTAAGCCAGTGATGCCACACTGTCTCACCCAACACTGCCCTACCACCTCCCACCCCATTGGTGTAAGAGGATCAGGAAGGAGGAGGATCTTGGGGTCTCTGGGTTGCCTGCAGGAATGCAATATTCATGAGAGCATAGCTCTTCATACTGCATTTGGCAATGGTAGGTAGGGATGTCTCCTTTTTTGAAACCAAATCACAGAGATACAGGGGAAACACTTTTGGAGGCAGTGGGAACTTTCAACAATCAGCAGATATGG